ACAGGCGCCAAGCCTACATAACAAGTCTTAATAAACTTGAGAAGACTGAAATCATATCAAGTATCTTTTCCAACCACAATAGAATGAAATTAGAATTCAGGAGAGTAGAAATAGCAGAAAAGAACTGGAGAATTAAAAAATATGTAAAAGTTAAACAACACTCTTGAACAACCAATGAAGTGGTCAAAGAAGAAATCACAAAGGATATAGGAAAAATGTTCATACCAATGAAAATAAAAACACAACATATCAAAAGTAGGAAATGCAGCAAAAGTAGTACTAAGAGGAGGGTTTATACTGGTAAATACCTGAATTAAAAAAGAAATATCTCAATAAGTAATCCAAGTCTACAAACTAAATACAAACAACTAATATCAGCAGAAGGAAGGAAATAATAAAGATTAGAGCAGAAATAAATAGACAATGGAAAAATAACAGAATATATCAACAAAAATAAAAGTTAGTTTTCTGAAAAGATCAACAAACTTGGTAACCTTGAATAAGACTAAGAAAAAAAGAAATGATTCAAACAAAATCAGAAAGAGGAGATATTACAATTGATGCTGCAGAAATAAAAAGGATAAGATACTACTCTAAAAATTATATGCCAATAAATTTAATAACCTTGAAGAAATGGATGAATTACTAAAAACATACAATCTACCAAAATTAAATTATAAAGAAATAGAAAATCTGAACACATTGAATCAGTAGTCAAAAATCCCCCAACAAGTAACAGTCCAATACCAGATGACTTTACCAGTGAGTTCTACCAAACATTAAAAGAAGAATCAATGCCAATCCTTCTCAATATTCTTCCTATAAACAACAGAAGTGTAAATACTTCTAAAACTTACTTTAGGAGGCCAATGTTTTCCTGACAGCAAAGTCAGAAAGAGACACTATAAGAAAACTACAGGGCTGGGCGTGGTAGCTCACTCCTGTAATCCTAGCATTCTGGGAGGCTGAGGCAGGAGGATCTCTTGAGATCAGGGGCTTGAGATCAGGAGTTTGAGACCAGTGTGAGCAAGAATGATACCCTGTCTCTCCCTAAAATAGAAAAATAAGCTGGGTGTAGTGGCAGGCACACAACTGCAGTTACTCAGGAGGTTGAGGTGGGAATATAACTTGAGCCCAAGTCTTCAGAGAAGACCTACAGATGGCCAACAGGTAGATGAAAAGGTGCTCAACATCACTAATCAGGGAAATGCAAACCAAATAAATCCACAATGAAGTGATATATCATCTCATTCCTATTAGGACTGTTAGTGTCCAAAAACAAAAACAAAACCAAATAAACAAAAAGATTTAAGATAGAAGAGAAGAGGAAAAAAAAAAAGATAAGAACAAGCATTAGGGAGGATGTAGAGAAACTGGAATGTCCAACAATGCAGTTGCTACAAAGAACGGTATGAAGGTTCCTCAAAAAACTAAAACTTCAATACCATGTGATCCACCAAATTGAAGTCAGGATCTTCAAGAAATAGTTGCATCCCATGTTCACTGCAGCATTATTCCCAACATCCAACAGGCAGAAACAACTTAAATGTCTACTGACAGATGTAATGTATAATATGGTATAATGTACACATACAATAAAATGTATTCATAAAATATTCAGCTATAGAAAAGGAAATCTTGTCAGATACAACAACATGGATGAACCTCAAGGATATTAGGCTAAGTGATATGAGCTAGTCACAGAACGATATGTACTTCATTATTCAACTTATATGAGGTACGTAAATTAGTAAAACTCACAGAAGCAGAAAGTGCAATGATGGCTGCCAGTGGATGAGGGGAGGGGAGAGATGGGGCATTAGTGTTCAATTTGTATAACATTTTAATTATACAAAATTAAAAAGTTTGACATATCTGCTGTATAATATTCTGCTATAGTTAACGATATTGTATCGTACACTTAAAAAGCTGCTAGGAAAATATATCTCATATTATGTGTTTTTAAAACAAAAAACCACAGCTTGTTACTACATTTTATTGTAAGCCGAGCTGTGAATCTTACCAGATATATAGCGATTTGGGTTACTCCTGAAGCGATCATCCACCAGAATAAGAGCTCCCCAATCATTCCTGTGTCGAATACACCTACAAAAAATAGGGGGAACATAAACTAATTAAAGCATAGAAAATAAAAGTCAGATTTTCAATGAGACAGAAATTTTAAAAATTCAATGTGTCAGTTATATATACCTTTAATCAATTTATTATGCCAAGTTATAGAAGCTACTCAATCCAATGTACCAAAATAGATGTATAAAAAAATTTTCTATTTCTGCCAACTACTGATAACTTCTAGCAAAAAAGGTTATATAAATTTTATTTTTATTTTATTTATTTATTTTGTAGAGACAGTCTCACTTTATCACCCTTGGTAGACTGCTGGGGCGTCACACAGCTCATAGCAACCTCCAACTTCTGGGCTTAGGCGATTCTCTTGCCCCAGCCTAAGTAGCTGAGACTACAGGCACCCGCCACAACACCCGGCTATTTTTTTGTTGCAGTTTGGCTGAGGCCGGGCTTGAACCCGCCACCCTCGGTATATGGGGCTGGTGCCCTACCTACTGAGCCACAGGTGTTGCCCTACATTTTATTTTGCAATCAAGATTATAGAAAGTATTTCCTAAGATCTTCTTTAGCTGCAAAGCCTACTTTTTACCTTAAGTATTATTAATAATTTCATGTTTTATGTAGATGTCCTTTTTACTAGTTTGATTAGAGTTTTTATTATGACTGAACACACAATTTTGTCAAAAATATTTTAAAATTCAATTGATATAATCATGTAGTTTTTCTTCTTTGAAGTACTAATATAGAGAATCATGCTGGTTCATTTTCAAATATTGAACCAGCTTTATATTCCTGGGTTACCCATATGTAGTCATGGTTCATTATTCTTTTTATAGATTGTTAGATTCAATTTGCTAGTATTTAAAAAATTTCTATTTTAAAACAATTATTTAGGCTGGGCACAGTGGTTCATCCTGGAGGCTGAGGCAGGTGGATTAGCTTGAGCTCAGGAGTTCAAGATCAGCCTGAGCAAAAAGCGAGATCCCAACTCTAAAAATAGCCAGGCATTGTGGTAGGTACCTATAGTCCCAGCTACTTGGGAGGCTGAGGCAAGAGGATTGCTTGAACCCAAGAGTTTGAGGTTGCTGTGAGCTATGATGCTACAGCACTCTACCAAGAGCAACAAATCATTAGACTCTAAAAAAATTTTTTTATTTAAAAAATTTAAAGTGTTCAATTTAACAGTTTTTAGTATATTTACAAGGTTGTACAACCTATAGCACTACTCATTCCAGAATATTTTCTTTGCCCTCAAAAGAAATCCTGTGCCAATTAGCAGTCTATCCAAATTATTCTAATTATTCCCCCTTAATCCTGGCAACAACTAATAAGCTTTCTGTCCCTAAAGATTTGCCTATTCTGTACATTTAAATTAACTGGAATTACACAATATGTAGCATTTTGTATCTGGCTTATTTCACTTAGTGATGTCTTCAAGATCCACTCATATTATATCATGTATCAGTACTTCATTCATAAGTTAACAAACGATTGCATTGTTTCCAGTTTTAGACTATTATGTATAACACTAGAAAATACTAGAGTATTTTCCAATTTCTCTTATGATTTCTTCTTTAACCCACTGGTCATTTAAAGAGTATGTGATTGAATTTCCAGATATTGGGTGAGTTTTCCATTTTTCCTTCTGTTACTGATTTCTAATCCCATTCTTAGTGGTCAAAAAGATACTTTTAATGATTCCAACCTTCTAAAACTTATGAAAACTTATTTTATGGCCTAACATAGGGTCTATCCTGAAGAATGTGCCATGTTACTTGGGAAGAATGTATATTCTGCTGTTGTTGAGTGAAGTGTGCTATCAGATGTCTGCTAGGTTTGTTTGGAGTTGTTGGTTTTAGTTTTGTTCAAGAATTCTACTATCTGTTGATTTCCCATGAAGAATATCTCATTGATATTCTCTAATCGGTGAGGCAAGACATCATTCCCATAATTTACTATAGTTCCTTTGTTATAGTTTCCTTAGTTCTTAAACATTTAAACTAGGTTTACGTACTAAGTAAAATGTCTAAAATGCATGGGCTTCCTCAGTTTCTATTGATTATTTTTCCCCCCAGTATAGGGACTTACTTTTTTCTTTCTTTGCTTGTGTCATAATTTTTGTTGAAAATAGTGATTTTTTTTTTTTTTTTGAGACAGAATTTTACTCTATTCTAGGCTGGAGTGCAGTAGGATGATCATAGTTCATTATAACCTCAAACTCCTAAGTTCAAGTGATCCTCTGGTCTCAGCTTAGAGTAACTAGGACTGCAGGCAGGTGTCACCATGCCCAACTAATTTTTTAAGAAAGTTATTTGTAGATATGGGGTCTTGCTATAGTGTCCAGTATAGGTCTGAACTCTTGGCCTCCAGTGATCCTCCTGCCTTGGCCTCCAAAATGCTGGGATTTATAGGTGTGAGCCACTATGTCTGGCTAAACAATATTTTGTGGCAAGTCTAGAAATCTTCTTTGGAGCTCCAGGGCATAATCAGTTAGCATGGAGTATTTAGAGAAATCAGCTTCTTTTTCCTCCTCAAGGTTTTTTGTTGTTGTGACTTTTCTGGAATAATTTTGCAAAGTCTTGTGCAGTCATTGAAGACTGCTTGGTTAGATTAGTAGTCAGCTAGTGATAAGAAAGAGATATCCTTAAATGTCTAGGACCTGTATATCTCCCATTGGTTGCCTGGAGGCTCCCAGGAATATGTCATAACTTTTAAAGCCTCCTAGGGACATCTCATTTCTCAGCTTTTTCTTTTTTTCTTAGCTAGCCTCTTAATTGCCCCAAATGTCATTCATTGTCTCAGGCAGCTATAAAGTTAGACAATTGCCTGGCTGAGTTCTGAGTCAGGTCAAATAAAGATAGCTTTGTGAGTAGGGTCTTCCAAAGGACAGGTCATATAATGGCGATTTTCTGGGAATGGACTCCAGCCCCATTTTGCCCCTTCTAGTGACTGTCAGGTTGTTGACTTTCACCGGGATTTCAGACTGCTGGTTTTTAAGACTACTGTGAATTTGGAGCGGGGTTGGAGGTTGGCAGATTGAACAAGTTAAAATGCCACAAAACTTACTGTGATGACATTCAGTCATTTTTGATAAATAAATGCTTTCTGGAAATGCTGTAGCCTTTGGTTAATATCTACAGTTTATGTAAAATTGATTCTGAACTCCTCTTGCCTATTTTCTCATTGCTTTCAGAATTTTCAGAGTTCTTTGTCAGTTTTGAGAACCTCATCCAATTTGCTAATATTTTAAGAACATCTTTAGCAATGTTCAGGAGGGATATTGGTCTGTAGATGTCTTCTCATTTCCTTTTGCTCTTGGCTCTTATGCATTTTTCACTGGGTTTCAGTGATTGGGCTCATAAAATAAATTGGGAAGAGAATATTCTATAAGTGATCCTGTAGAATAGGTGCTAATCTTTAAATGTTTGGTAATACTTGCTAGTGAACCCATCTGTGTGGAGAATTTTTTCAGAAGATAATTCAATTTCCTTCACAGAGGACTACTTATATTATCTATTTCACCTTAGGTAAATTTTGTTATTTTGTGAGTTTGAGAACTTAGTCCATTTGATCTGAGTTATCAAATGTATATGTATTAGAACTGTTCACAGTATTCTCTTATTATCCTTTTACTTTGTGGAATCTGTAGTAATATCACTTCTTTTATTCCTGATGTTAGTAATGTGGCTTCTCCTTTTTTCTTTGTCAATTTTGCTACAGGTTTATCAATTTTATTGATCTTTTTAAGAGCCTGATTTTGGTTTGATTTCCTTTTTTTGTTTGTTTTCAATTTCATTGATGATTTATACTTGTTTTATTTCCTTTTTTGTTTGCTTTACATTTATTTTGCTCTTCTTTTTTGAGTTGCTTAAGGTAGAAACTCATGAGCTCTTTCTTCTTTTCTAAGAGTTTAATGATATAAATTTTCCTCTGAGCACTGCTTTAGCTGCAGTCCTCAGGTTTTGATATACTATGTTTTCATTTTTTTTTGCAGTTTATCACCAGGGCTGGGTTTGAACCCACCACGTCCGGCATATGGGGCCGGCGCCCTAATCCTTTGAGCCACAGGTGTCGTCCCATATGTTTTCATTTTTGATCAGTTCAAAATACTTTCTAACTTTACTTAAGACTTCCTATCTATGGATTATTTAGAAGTATCCTGATTAATGCCCAAGTATTTCAATATTTGTCTGTTATTGATTTCCAGTTTAAATGTTTAATTCTATTATGATCAGGGAACAAACTTAATACATTGATTTAACAGTTAGCCAAGGACAATAGTGGTCTACATCAGGACTATTCCATGTGCATTTGAAATAAATATTTATTTTCCTATTGTGAATTGAACTATTCTGTAATGTCAATTCAATCCTAAAAGTTAGTAATATTGTTCAAATCTTCTATAAAACTAATAAAGATCATCTACTAGGTCCTAGTAGAAAAATTACTAAAATAATGTGGATTCTCTATTTCTCTCTTCAGATCTGTCAGTTTTTGCTTCACGTATTTTGAAACCTTGTTTTTAGGTGCATACACGTTTAGGATTACTATGTCTTCTTGGTGAACTGACCCTTTTATCATTATGTAATGTCCTTTTTTATCCCTACTAATTTTATTTACCCTGAATTCTACTGAGATGAATATAGTTATTCCAGCTAGTTCATTGGTATTTTGAATTGTAAGTCAAAAATTTCCCTAAAAAATTTGAAGATAAATTTCTCTATCTTTTAGCTTCAACATTGCTTTTCAGAAGTTTGCTACAATTCTGATGCCCTAATCTTTTATAGGACACCTGTCTTTTTTGTCACTGCAAAAGTTTAGGACCATTTCTTTATCCCAGGTACTTGGAAACTGCATAGTGAGATCCATTTTTATCTGAGAAATTTCTATTTTATTTTCCAAGCTCTATTCAACATTTAAAAACTATTGTTACCATGTTAATTTCTAAGACCTTTTCCTTATTTTTTTGTTCTTGTTTCATGGAGGCAATATTCTACCTCTCTGTGCATATTACTGAT